AGTGAAAAAAACAAGACGAAATGATGAAAATTATTACATAAAATGTTTTGCTTTCTCCTCATCTTTTTTTTTTGGAAATTCATCAAATTTTCACTATTTTTCTTCGTCTTTTCCTCAATTTTTTCATTTAATACTACACTAATATTCAGCTAATGTCTTAGAACGCATTAAAAAAAGTAAACAGTTGATAAATATAATTGAAAAAAAATATTTTCTAAAAAACAAAAGTTGGAAATCAAAAAATTGTGGTCAAAATTGGTACAGGAAAAAAAAATTTTTGCTTTTTATATCCCTACTGCAGTACCCCATTGATTGGTTTCTGTTTCTATATTCCGAATATACACCGTCAGCATCGCAGACTCCTCACTATCGGCAACCGAACTTCGCTTCTGATGAGTATTTTTCTTCGAAACGAACCACTTTAAACTTCTTTTGACAATCGACTGTCCCTGCTTTTTTCTTCTTCGTCCCTTTCTTCCTCAGTTCATTTCCTCTTTGTTCATCAGTTCTTTTTTCTAACCATTCAACTCAAAGAACACAATGTAAAGCTTTCAGCAGAGAGGACAAACAGAAAACAATCGTTGTCCTTCAATTGCTGATGAAAAAAAGACTTATTGCATCGGTTTTACAGCAGTTTTAGTGGGCAGCAGCAACAGTAGCAATAGAAGCACCAAAAACAGTAAAAAAAACTACTATAAAATTAAGGTACTTCATAGGTGGAGAAGTAATGAACAAGAAAAAAGAAAAACTGTTTTGTTTTCAAGAATAAATAGTGATTTTTCGTTTTCTGAACTGTAATCTACAATTGAAATTAAAGTGGCTGTAGAAAAAAGAAGAGTATTTTTGTGACAATGGCAAAAAACCGATAATGTTGAAAAATGGAAGAAAAAAAAAAAAAAAAAAACGAGAAACCAGATTAGAGCGAAAAAAAGAGAATTAAATCAAAAATAAAAATGAACAATAACCTGAATAGTCGAATGGTACATTTGTGGAACTTCAAAAAAACCCATCGCACACCAACATCATTAAACTGATGGATTTACAGGAAAGAAAAAGAATAGTAAAAGAAAAATTTCTATTACTTTGAATAAATTTTTCTTGCTATTATTACTGTTATTTTGGTCAGTAGATGCTTGAAATTATTACCATTATTAACTATGTATTCTTCCGACTTCAACACATCCTTTCCACGACATTTTTCACCGTTGCATACTTTCTTTTATTAATTAGAGAAACTGCAAAAAAACCCAGCACTTCATTCTATTTTTGTCTTTGTTGTTGTCTTTATGTCGTAAAAACCTTTTACCTTGAAAAAAAAAAAAAAAGACTTTAGACAGCCTCTTCGTTAAAGCAGAAAGAAAAAAAAAAGAATAAAAAACTGGGAAAAAAATTCAAGCGGTCAAAAAAATTTTTTTTGTTATGGTTTAAATTATTTTTTTCCAAATATACAATAGCAGAAAAGAAGAAGAAAAAGTGGAGAAAAAAAAAGCAGATTTACGACAGCACCTATAAGCAGATTAATGGAAAATTTTTGGTACAGTTGTGTTAGGCAGGTGCTAGGCTCTAGATAGGGACAAAACGGGCACAAGCCGAGAGGAGCACAAAAATTGGGGAAGGCCATGGGAGGAGTCGGACTAATGGTAAACTCTCATTTATCGAACCGGGATAAAGACACGGAATGAAGGGTGCGTGGTATAGCCAACTATCTGAGCAATTTTTGGTCATTTCTGTGGACCAGAATAAAGGTAATGAGAAGGAGAATGGTCAGCAGTGAAGGAGAAGAGGGCAAAAGGGTAAAGGTGTAATAAAAAAAAACCAAATATTTCTTAATTATTTCAACACTTGTTTTGTGTATCGAAAAAAGAGAAAGAAAAAAAAAAGAGAGAAAAACTTTTTGCTGCAAATTTAATGTAATTTTTTTTAACTGTTGATCACTGCTAATAAACAGTAACTGTAATGGGAAATAAAATGGCTAGTAAATCCTTATTTTTTACTTCAGACAATATACTTGTAAACATTTAAACCTTTTTTTCACTCTACTTTACTGCTGTTGTTTCCGTTACTGTCGGTTTGCAGAACAAAGAAGCGGTTATGGAATGAGGCGTTAATGCTAATCAGACAGATTTTTTGTGGGATAAAATTGATAAAAGAAAGAAAAAAGAGAAGGTTTTAGTTATTTTTTTTTCCTTTTTTTTTTCTTTTTTTTTTTTTTTTTT